GGAGCGCGGCAGTTGAGCAGCGTCCTCGCGCCAACCGCCGCTCGCCATCCTGGCACGAGCGTGGTATCTTCGCGAACAGCTCCGACAATTGAACCTTCTTCGCACTCTTTACACTCTCCATCTCGATCACACTGACATCGCCTCGTGGACAATGCTATTCTGAGTACAATTAGTCACTTCCAAACCTCCTCCTCCTCCGCCTCATCATACGCATTCCTTTTCTTTCGCCCTTCTTCGCCCGTCGCAGCTACACTAGCCGAACGCGAATCTTCCGATCCAGGGCCGCGCGCTACTGCAGCAGAAGCAAGGATTCTTCACGGCCGCATACACGCGCTCCCCCCGACAAGGCCCGTTGCTCGTCGCAGCGTTGATGACAGTCGCACGACTTGCCTTAAAAGCTCACAAAAGCCCCACAATCTCATAGTCGGGAACGAAGACACACGGCGAGCCACCCCGCCTGCGTGGACGACCTCTGGACAAAGGAGCGCGACGTCGTCGCGCTGTGCGCCACACCCAACTAAAACCATCGAGAGCCTCGGTCAGGGTCAATAGCGCGATCCCGACTTCATCTTCAAGAGCCCAGGACTGCAGCTTGCGGCGACATCGGAAAGGCGGGCTTCGACATTGACTTACGATAGTCGGTGTACACGCGCGACACTGAAAGAACTTCTCAGCCCCGCGCCATCAGTACACAGCTGACGCGCGCGCGCGCGCTCAGGCCTGTTGTCTGTCGGGTCCGCCTGCGCGATCAAACGACTCAATCTGCGGCAGTCGCGAACGAAGAAGTTATCTATCTCATCAACAATTTTGTGCGACGGGACCCAACCACACATTGTGAGCGTGCATCAAGTGATTCACACGCGTTTCGCGCTCCTTTGTCTCCGACACCCATCCCTCAACGGGACGCCTTCCGTGCGGTGCCCCCGCACCACTGCGTGGTGAGCAATGACTTCAACACTTTCGTTGCCACGCACCATGCTCCGTAAATTTGCGGAGCAAGTCTCCAAGAACCCCATTGAGGTGGTGGTGACGATGTTCATCGTGGTCACTTTGGCCTATTTTCAGCTCTTGCACGCCATCTCCACCAGCAATTTTTTCGAGCCTCTGAACAGGGAGGCAGCCGGCTTGGCTGCTGCTTCAGGTTGGGCCTCGATACCCTCGGAACCTCTCAATACCGTACACAGCGCTCTTGAAGAGCATAGCCAGACTGTCTTCATTCGACGCGCTGGAATGGGCAAGCAATGGGAACCCCTCAGCGCTTCTACTGGCACAGTGATCGACGAGCCGGCATCCAACGCTACCTACTCCATCGAGCCAATTCTAGTCGTCGACTCTGAGCGTGGCGGAGACAGCAGCGCGACTAGGCACCTGAGAGATACGGGCTTGCCTCGCGTTGCGGACGAAGTGGAGCGCAAGCTGCTGGCAGGGGACAAGAAGATTTCGGTCTTCAAAGTGTGCGATAAAGAAGCCGACTTGACGGTGTTCGCCCTTGGACGTATTAGCCATGCTGATGCTGGATCCCAAGCCGACGCGCTGAGGCACAAAGCTCTTCTCGAAGCGTCAGAGGATGAGACGGTGATTGCAGAGATTCTGCAGGCTGGTCAGAGCGCTCTTGATGCTGTTGCGCCAGTCATCAGACCCGCTTCCGATGACGAAGCAGCGCCCCTGGGACCGCAACTCGTCTTGCTGCCCACCCTGTCTGGCGCGGACGAGAGGCTGGTCGGTCTCGATGCGAGGAGGAGGGGCTCAGCTACCACGCAAGAGCTTCGAAGCTTGCGATGGGCGGCATACACCGTGCGCGCCCTCGTCGTTCGCTTTTGGGCTTTGCTGAGGAAGGCAGACTCGGCGGACATCTTCGTCATGCTCTTGGCATACGTGCTTATGCACGGCACTTTCATCAACCTGTTCCTGTCCATGCGTAAATTCGGTAGCCGATTCTGGCTTGGTGAGTGGCTCTCAGGCGCACATCGAGTGGACGCGCACGCCATGGCGAAGTGCGAGTTTAGAGCTCATGATCGTCTTCTCTCCCTGGACAGGCGCCTCTGTCTTGACGTCATCGATCTTCGGCTTCCTGTGCGCCTTGACGATGGCATCGGCGCTCGGCGTTGTCGTCGATCCTGTATGCCTCTCCGAAGCGTTGCCCTTCCTCGTCGTCATCGTTGGCTTCGAAAAGCCATTCCTCTTGACTCGCGCGGTCTTTTCGCACCCTTCTTTCGCCCCCGCAACCCAGCCAGCATCGAAATCAAACAGCGACGCCTTCCTATCAGCGCTGAATGACGCTCAGCCCGCAAGTGACAGGGATGCACAGGAGGGCAAGGAGGCACGCGAGTTGACGTCAAAGCCAGTGGTATCTCCGGAGGAATCTTTCGTGCGCGCGCTGACGCTGCGACTCAAGTCGGACTCATCTTTGCGGTGGGACGCGCCGCAGCCAATGTCGGCTCCAGATTTGGTGGTCGAGGCGGTCGACCAGGTGGGCCCTACCATTGTGCGCGACTATCTCATCGAAGTCGGTGTTCTCACAGTCGGTGCAACAAGCGGTGTCAGCGGCTTGCGCGAATTCTGCCAGCTCGCAGCCCTGATACTGTCTTTCGACTGCATCTTTCTCTTTGCTTTCTACCTCTCCATTCTCACCATCATGGTTGAAGTGCACAGGATCAAGATCATGCGTGGCTTGCGTCGACCCAGACCTGCTACCCCTCCGAATGTGGACTCGGACCTGCCGACAGGCATGTCGAATGCGAGAGCAGAGCCTAATCAGGAAGACGACGACGATGAAGATGGCTCATCCACTCCTGGAGCCTCGGTAGAATCTCCCGTAGAGCCCGGAACGAGGTCGGCAAAGTCGAAGCCAGGGCGGCCTCTCTGGAAGCGCATCTTCAAAACGGTCCTCGGTACTGTCCCGTTCGAGCACAATCGGCAAGAACGCCAGAATCCCGTGGCACGGCTGAAGGTGCTCTTGATCACAGCTTTCATCACCTTGCATTCGTTCAATCTGGTCTCGACGCTGACCACTCAGTCCGCAATCACTCGTCATCATGCCATCGACTCCTCCTCTTTACATCGACACTTTTCCGAGTACAGCAATGTGTTTGACCTTCGGGCAGACTCGCCAGTGCTTTCGAAATTCCTGTCCAAATTGGACAGCAGTGAGCCCGCCTCGGCGAACCTCATCGCACGCGTCTCGGACCCGCTCATCTATGTGCTGGTAGACGGCGCTCCTGCTGCCGCTGCCTCACGCACCGCTCTTGCAAGTGCTGCTCTGAATGCATCTGGCGGAGGCGGCCTTCCTCCGACATCCTTCACCATCGGCAACTCGGCAGGTGGAGCGGCTGGTGCCAACACAGGGGGCCGAGGCGCGTCCTCACTCGCCGTGCTTGATAGCTTCATGACTGGATGGACCTTCATTGTCGGGGACCCAATCATTAGCAAGTGGATGTCGCTGGCACTCGCTATCAGCATTTTCCTGAACGCATACCTTTTGAAAGGCATCGCGTCTGGCGACGCTGCTGTGGCAGAGGGCAATGCGACAGGCGCGGCGGCTTTTGCTGCGGCACGCATGATTGGTGCTCATCTAGACAGGGAACGCAAAAATAGCGGCAAGGGCACCAAGCAGGTACTGCACAAACCGCGATCAGAGCTGGACGCGTACAATAGACGCATTGCGGATATTTCGGCTGCAGAGCGCTCCAAGTCGAAGCTGTCCCAGGTCAGCGAGGGCAAGCCAGGTTCCCACACTAATGCGATACCAGCCTCTGCGATCACTAGCGACGCTGGCGATGCCGTGCGCCAGGCTAAACAATCCGGCAAGGTGCCGTCGATCTCTACAGACCAGCCCACTAGCGATGGTGACAACACGCCCCAGCTCGGCCATGCCGCTCTGGTCGATGAGTCTGGCGATCGCGTGATTCGTCCCTTTGAAGAGTGCCTCGACCTATTCGCTGGTGGCGCTGGCGTCTTCCTGCTGAGCGACGAAGAGGTTATCCTTCTGGCGCAGAAGGGCAAGATTGCAGCTTACGCTCTCGAAAAAGTGCTGCAGGACAACAATCGCGCGGTGCGAGTCCGTCGGGCACTCATTTCCCGCGCCTCCGCCACCAAGACCCTGGAAAGCTCGCTCTTGCCCCACCTCGACTACGACTACGCTCAAGTGATGGGCGCATGCTGCGAGAATGTGGTGGGTTACCTGCCTCTACCAGTCGGAATTGCGGGGCCCTTGAACATTGACGGCCAACAGGTACCGCTTCCGATGGCGACTACCGAAGGAACCCTTGTCGCCTCGACTTCTAGAGGATGCAAAGCTCTCAACGCCGGTGGAGGCGTAACGACCGTGTTGACTCAGGATGCAATGACGAGGGGGCCCGCTCTAGACTTCCCCAGCATTACTGCAGCAGCCAGAGCGAAGCGCTGGGTCGACAGCACGGACGGAGCGGCGATTCTGAAGGCAGCATTTGACTCGACTTCGCGCTATGCTCGCTTGTCCTCCTTGCACTCTGTTCTTGCCGGCCGGACACTCTACGTGCGATTCGCCACCTCCACGGGTGATGCGATGGGTATGAATATGATCGGAAAAGGTGTTGAGCAGGCGCTGAGCGTCATGAAGAGCAGGCATTTCCCAGAGATGCTCATCCTGTCCCTGTCAGGTAATTACTGCATCGACAAGAAGCCAGCAGCCATCAACTTTATCATGGGTCGCGGCAAGAGCGTGGTTGCCGAGGCGACTATTCCTGGCGACGTGGTCAAGAATGTCCTCAAGACAACAGTGGCCGCCCTGGTGGATCTGAACGTGAAGAAGAACCTGGTCGGAAGCGCAATGGCGGGGGCCATTGGAGGTTTCAATGCGCACGCCGCCAACATTCTCACCTCTATCTTCATCGCAACCGGACAAGATCCCGCGCAGAATGTGGAAAGCTCCATGTGCATGACGCTGATGGAAGCCATCAACGATGGCAAGGATCTGCTGGTGACTTGCTCGATGCCCAGCATCGAAGTTGGAACAGTGGGAGGAGGCACAGCGCTATCGCCTCAAAGATCCATGTTGAATCTTTTGGGCGTGGCAGGCGCGCACCCAACTACCCCTGGAGCCAACGCTCAAAGGCTGGCACGAATCATCTGCGCAGCTGTCATGGCGGGCGAACTTAGCCTGATGGGCGCCCTGTCCGCGGGTCACCTGATCAGAGCGCACATGCAGCACAATCGCTCTGCTCCTCCCACTCCTGGCGCTCAAACGCCAAGGCTGCAAATCCCCCAACCTAGCTTTGGAGCTATGACCCCATTGGTGGCTCCGCCCGTCGAAAGCACTAGGGGATCTCCAACAGGCAGCGTGAGGGAACGAAGGGCCGCATCGACCGGCTAGCCAAGATGCTCAAGCCGGATCACGTGTGCTGCACATCGCTTTGACACCTCACATGTGTCGAGCGTGCTCTTCACCTTTTCTTGTACATGCTTCTCCTCTTTTCCTCGCTAGCGCGGTTGGAGCCCCCGCATACATTACACTGCACACGCAAGCAAGGACGTCGAAGCTAATGAGAACAAAAAAGGTACATCGGATTGAGACCTTCTGATGACATTGTGTTGCGGGCGTTGGTGTCCTTCGCTACTACAATCTGCTTTGCCTCATGCACCGCGTGATTGTGATTCCGCCACGCGTTCCTTCACCGTTTCGAGGTTGGCGCGATTGGATCGCCCGTCGCCTTCTCCGCGGCTGACTTTGGGACAGTACTTTCCGCGGACGAATTGCTATCCGCCTGCTCATGGCTCTTTGTTGCCGCGTCTTGAGGATTTTCCTTGTCCTTCTCGCTGGTCTGCTTGGTGGTGGCGGCGGTGGGAAGGCCGACGATAGCAGCAGCAGCAGGCTTCTTCCTCACCACACCGGCGAAACCTTCCCTCTTTCTCTTCGAAGCTGATTTCTTGCCGCTGGTGCTGCTCGATGGTGCGAGAGGAGGCATCAGGGTGGCTGAAGCTGCGATAGAAGGCGCCGTGGATGGACCAGCGTTTGGAGTGCTGGTAGTGCTTGTGGTAGAGACTAGAGGAGGCGGCGTGGGACTCTTGCGCATAGCAGCTCTGCGTTCGTTCAACATCACGAGTGGCATGAAGCGTCACGAGACATGTGATGTCAGGCAAAGACCAGCGGATCCCCTTGGCAAAGTTGCCCTCGGGCTGTGCTGAATTTGACAGATGAGCGCCAAACACCAACACTCACAATCTGAACTCTTTGAGCTCTTCGAGCTCCTTCCTTTTCTTCTCCGCCTCTTCCCTTCGTCTCTCGTCCTGGACATCGGACAGAAAGACGCTTTCCTCGTCATCTATTCCTCTGAATTGATTCGACAGCTTGTACTTCTCATCGAATGCTTCTTGTTTGGCTGCTTTTTGCGCTTGAAGACGCTGAGCGCGGGAGAGCGTTGAATCTGGCAGAGTAAGACGCGGATTGGGGGCGCAGCCCGGGTACTGGAGCACTCACTTCGTATAATGTACGAGGATCGTACGGCTGATCGTCCTCGGTCGGCGGTGGTGCTTGTCCAGTTCTAGCGTACGCAGCTCTTCTCTCTTCCTCCTTCTCTGCACTCGAGCCCGAGACAGGTACGGGTAGTTTGGTGTCAGCCACTGGTCGCTATGGACAACCGACAGCATTGATCTAGGTGCTATGTGTGAGCGATGTTTGCTTTGTCTGGCGACACTCACTCTTTTGAGCCTCCTCCAACGCATCGGAACTGACGAATCTGCTGCCTACTCCACCCGACGAGTATGGCTTGGATCCGCTACCGGATGCGAATCCCGGATCCATCGTGCAATGTAGCGAGCTGTACGCGTCAGACGTCGAGAGGAGAGGAGTGAAGGCTTCCCTTCTTCCTGATCAGGTCGGATGTTCTGCCTCCTCAGAGGATATCGGGGAGGCGGTAAGAGTCGTGGATTGGTGATGCGAGCGATCGAGGCTTGTGTGGAGCGCTCGACACCACACGCAGATCGAGCTCAGCTTGTCCGTCCTGCGCAAACACGCAATGCTCGGCTTTGTACGTACGCGAAGGTGTAATGAAATGGTCGAAGGCAGCATACATGCACATGCTGCGAAGCATCTCAAAACTTTGAGTCCTTGCGCGGGTGAAAGTCAAGTTGGCGCGCGATTTGAGAACAAGACGGGTCACGAGTCCGTGCGCGGATGTGTGCTGCTCATGCAAGCAGTCACGAATCGTGAATAAAGTAGAGTGAGTGATCTGTTATGATGTAGCCTCTAGCCTCACCACCAAGAAGGCTATCATCGACCGCTCTCCATCTCTCTACGCCCTCCATCGCACCGCCCTGTGCCTGTCTTCTGGTAGCTTCTTCAACAGCCGTGCACTGACCTGCCGGTGTTCCACGACAGGCTTGTCTCGTGCGCAGAGGCTGCATCGCAATCAAGGATCAAGAGCAAGTCCCCTTCTTGCTTGCCAACCCCACGGCAAGCATGGCGCTCGAGACATCTTCAGGCTCTGCCAATCAAGGCGCATCCTCATCCTCAACCACGGCTCTCAAGACATTTGATATTCTCAACGATGTGATCACATTGGATGCGACAGACTCGGTCTTTGCGTACGATGCGGACGAGCAGAGAAGGATTTTGAACGAGAGCCCTTGGAAGAAGGAGTGAGTCAAATTCTTGCACAGCCGTGGCCAGCATTGAGACTGCCCAAACAAGGCCACGAGAGTCCACCCTGTCTTGCCCTGCCTCGAGCTCGAATCTCGCTCATCATGCCCCACACGTCTTGTGCGGTCAATCTCTTTTGCAGCCCACACTTCTTCCAGAGGGTGCGCATCTCTGCTGTAGCGCTGATCAAGATGGTGATGCATGCGCGCTCGGGTGGCATATTCGAAGTGATGGGACTGATGCGTGGAAAGGTAGATCCCGTCACTAGAACGCTGGTGATCATGGATGCATTTGCCCTACCCGTGCAAGGAACAGAAACCAGAGTCAATGCTCAGAATGAAGCGTACGAATACATGGTCGAGTTCCTAGAGAGCAGCAAGGCGGTGAGTGAAAATGAGGATGTTGAATCAGCTCTGAGTGCTTCGAATGCGTAGGTGCTGAGCCTCGAGATCTCCGTCGCAGGTCGGACAAATGGAAAACATCATTGGGTGGTATCACTCCCACCCTGGGTATGGTTGTTGGCTTTCTGGCATCGACGTCGCCACCCAGATGACCAATCAGCAATTTCAAGATCCATTCGTGGCGGTAGTTGTGAGTGTTCACTAGCATCCGCAGCCAGATGCGATGCTGATCGAACCGCATGATGTGATTGCAGATCGATCCGAACCGTACCATCTCCGCCGGCAAAGTGGACATTGGAGCATTCCGAACGTACCCGGAAGGGTACAAACCACCCTCAGCAGGTCCGTCCGAATATCAATCCATTCCACTGTCCAAGATCGAAGATTTTGGAGTTCATGCAAACAGCTATTATCCCTTGACAATCGAGCACTTCAAAAGCAGTCTAGACACCTCCCTGCTGGACCTGTTGTGGAACAAATACTGGGCGTCCACGCTAAGTCAAAGTCCATTGGTGGTCAATCGGTCGTACGCTACGGGTCAAATCAAGGATTTGTCGGATAAGTTGAGCAAAGCTTATCCCAGCGTCAGACAGAGAAGCTCGGCTATAGCTCCTTTGAGCAAGGAAGATCTAGAAGCGGACGATGAGCAAGGTCCGCATGCTCTTTCTTCTGCGTCCAACGAAGGATCTAATGCGGTAACGCAAGGGGCGAACGCAAAGCAAAGGGACGTCAAGTTGACACCTCAAAGACTTGCCAAGTGGCAGGAAGAGATCGGCAAACGTGAGGAGGAGACACCGCTGGCCAGGGCTGCTAGAGACGCGTGAGTAGAGAAGAGGTTGTTGATGTACGGAGCGTCCGCCATGTTCACCACCCTCACACGGCTCGACCATGACGGCCTCGGTTCCTGTCGCACAGGACCAGAATTTCGGATGAAGCCTCCCACGGAATCTTGGCGCAGAACCTCAAACATACGCTTTTCAATCTGGCTGGAGATCGAGGCCGAGCAGCGTCGAGGAAAGGGCAAGAAGAGATAAATGTTGCGTCTTAGAGAGACGATGCCTGGCTGCCTCCCAGGTAGAGCTGGCTGAGGGTGTACTACGCGATCAGTCGATTCTCCAAAACCTCAAATTCCTCGAATGGCGCGGTGTAGTCTACTGAGACGATGTCAGTCGAGAGGAGCATGCCTGTACCTCATTTTCCACACTCGAGACGATGGCCTCAAAACATGATTGCACGTTCTGAGTGCATGGTGTTGATCGAGGAAATCTGGCCGATCCGTTCCAACAATGTGATATGACGTTGAAGCTGAAATCGGCAAGCCCCTCGTTCGAAAGGACTGCTCAAGCTGGCGTGGGACGTTTCGTACAAGGCACATCACATCCTGATGGATCCGTGGACACTCACGACTCGTGACAGACTTTTACTCGCGCAAGGCGTGTGGATACTTTGCCGGTCTGAGCGCCAAGTCTCAGCGCGATTGCTGGTGCCGGGGCGGCGGGTGCCGATTGCCAATCACACAGTACCACTACTACAGTAGTGCACTCAGAGCTAAGCAGAGCAAAAGTTACTGTACAATTGTGTGGTGCGGTGCTGCTATCAAATGGGCAGCATATGCGTGGCTGTCGGGCACATCTTGATGAGAATGTGGATCAGCTTGGCGTGCGTCCGTGACTTATAACGTGACTTTTGGCTTCGTCACACTCGGCCTTAAAATTCTTGCAATCAGACCGGGCTGATGTAATTAATGCGAACAGTATGCGATGTGTTCCAAAGATGCAAGCGACGACCCTTTAGCGCGACTTTGACCGCAAGCGGTCGCGCTCGACCATATGCTGGTGGTTTCACCGAAACTTGTATGCGTCCGCCCGCTCACACTCGACCACGGTGTACTCACACTGCACGAGGAGGCCGAATGGTGATCGAGTTACGCTCATCAGACTCACCATTCCAAGCTGTGCGGACGCGGAGGCGAACGCGGTCGCGCTTGTCTGCGTCTCGATCGTACATGACGTCATGTCCAGCTGCTGCTTGCTACCCATGCATGCGATTCGGATTCGCATGCAAAGCAAGATCGTGGCTCTGACTCGATCACGACTCTTGACTCGAGCAGCCGTCCACATCGCCAGAGCTCTAAGCGAGGCCGATGAAGGGGTCCTTGTCGAAGCCAGCTTGGCACGCTCCAACATCCAGATTCAGATTCGTGCTTGACAGCATCGACGGGCCCAGAGGCTGATTTCGTAAGCTTGCCGTGTTCAGCTCTGAGCATCATGACCCATGATCAGCAACAGTCAGAGTCCAGAACAGCTAGCAAGTCACGAGTGCAGGCTCAGGACCCAGTATCGTAAAATGACGAATAGTCACGAATCACGAACTGTGAATGAATGGATGATGGCCTTTGGTCCGATTTACATCCTCGCATTCTGATCATTCGGACCCCGACGTCTTGGTTCGCAGCTAGCGGTAAGGGTCCTATGCGCCTCTACACCCGCCGCTTGCGACTGTGACTGTCAATGTATATGGCTCACCTTGTCTTCCTCGAGCCGCAAAGGCGGAGCCCTCGCAGTCCCAACGAGGCCGAGGCCGAGGCCGATCTAGCACAGCCTCCTTGCCGGAGTTGCTCGCTGCTGTAGGACCTAAGACCGCGACAAAGTAGCATTCACAAGTGGCCGGATGATCAAGCATCACTTCAGAATCACTCACGGCTTTCTACACTCATTCATGACTCACGACTGCATCTCAAAGATGGACTTTGATGTGTGTCAAACTCAAATCCGGACTCCGTCTTTTGTCTAGACTTGGGCGAGACAGAGGTGAGGGGCCGAGCGTCGGACAACTATCAAGAGAGTCACAAACGGGCGGATCAAAATCGCGAGCTATTTTAAATGAGGTACAGTAGTACTACACATCACAAATCTTTCGATGGGACCATCGCTGATGCTGGTTGGAGGCCAAGCAGCTTGGGGGTTGACTTGACTTGCACGTCGATATCAGGAAGCGCTCGCCGTGTCCGTCACCTCGACGTGGAGAGGAGAGTCAAAAGTACAGGCGGCAGTCGCCTGTTGCAGTCTTTGAGTGAACCAGTCTCATAGTCACGCGTGCCCCTGCCCAGCTTGCACGACCCCCCGTGACTTGCCCCGAACGACGGCATGCAGATATTGCGCTCGCAAGTTGCCACGCTAACATCGTTAGGCCGGAAGGGAGTGCGCGCGTTCCCAAGCCACCTCTTCTAGGGTTTGCCCAGTGGAGCGGGACGGTACCAGCATGCACTGTAGCACCAGTGAACATGCGGCATGTACAGTCAAAGTGCCTGCCTGCTGCTTTGGCTGCACGCGCGATGAATGTTGAGGATCAGCTAAGCGGCAGCACGATATGCAGCAAGCAGCACACCCAACATGGATTTGGACAATCGTGAATCATCTCTCTGCGACGAGCTCGATCAATTCGTGACTTCATACTCAAACTTCTTCCTTTGTTTCCGATTGATCTGATGGCTGGTTTCCGCTTGTGCGCAGCATGTTTGTGACTTTGACATCCTCGATTGCACCAGCAGCATCGAGCTTGCACCAGCCACTGCGGGCGGAATGCTCGTGTTTCAAAGTGTAAGT